ATGGTAATTGGGATAACCATCTACCATTGATTGAATTTTCCTACAATAATAGCTATCACTCAATTATCGCTGTGGAACCATTTGAGGCCCTTGATGGGAGCAAATTTAGATCTATGGTTGGGTGTTTGAGGTAGGTGAGTTTGCTTTAATAAGTCCTGAAGCAATTTCAAAGGCTGTGGAGAAAGTCTAACTCATATAGTATAGATTAAAGAAAACTTAAAGTCGGCAAAAATCTTATGCTGACAATAGAAAGAGAGACCTTGTGTTTATGGTAGGTGACTTGGTCTATTTGAAGATATAACCCATGAAAGGGGTTAGAGATTTGGTAAAAAGGGGTAACTTAGTCCCCGGTATATGGGTTCATATGAGCTTTTGAAATGCATTGGAAGTGTTTCCTATGAGTTTAAATTACCTATTGAGTTGGCTCTGGTGCATCCAGTGTTCCATGTGTCAATGCTAAAAAAGTTCATAGGTTATTCAGTGTCTATCCTTTCTCTATAAGGTATAGAAGTTGATGCTTACCTTTCCTATGAAGAGGTTCCAGTTGAGATTTTAGATCGGCAAGTGTAGAAGTTGAGGAATAATGAATTAGCTTACATAAAGGTTCTTTGGAAAAATAATTTTGTGGAAAAGGCTACTGGGAAGGTCGAGGCTAATATGATGTCCTGATATCCTCATCTTTTTCCTTCATATTCTACTCAAGGTTGAGGTTAGTAATTCCTCTTAGTTGTGGGTTGTGAAGGGTCTTAAGTGTATTTGAGCTTCCATCATTTTCCTTAATTATGCATGTTCTTGTGGAAAATTCATATTTCACACGTGGCTTTAATTATCACGATCAGATTCTAGACCCCAGACGAGACCAACGTCGTTGACCTCTCAAAGGTCGCAGACAAGCCTACTTACACCATTCTTACTTTTTCTATGTCAATTTTAGCGGAAAATTTGAAACTCTTTGTTTCTTAACATGCCTACTAAACATTCTACTACTTACATAATTGTTCACCATCCAGCATCTAAAATTAAGATCATCAAATGAAAGAAACAGTTTATTATAACGATAAAGATGTACTTGCAAAAATGGCACCAATACAATGTCTGAACAAAATGGGAAAGAAACTCCAGTGGTACATAATCCACTAGCTCAATCCTAAAACTAAGCTAGAATGTAAATGGGCAAGCATCCTTGAAAGCATAAGGCCCTACCAAGTACGGATGAATGGTTGACGTCCGGATAACTGCAACTTTGATCCTGTAGCTCTAGCGTCCACCTGTGCCTTAACCTTAAAGTTTAAAGTTTTATAGGGTTAGTACACACTTGTACTAAGTATGGGTATATGTAAGCACACACCAAGGATAAGCATGAGTAAGAATATCTCTTTCCTAGCAACATGATTATAGCAGGTCAAGTCAGTGGACTTGCCAAATTGAGTTAGGAAATTGAGTAAACTTTCAAAATTTGGATTAGTAAAGTTTATGAGATTTCAAAATTTGGATTAGAAAATTTATGCCATGAGAGTATTATGCATCATCATACTTAACATTTTGCACACAGCACAAAACAGCATACACATAGCACATATAATAATTCCTATAACACATAACGTTGTTAATATCATTCATTCGTATGCCATGACACATTGGAATCATGGACTTGATATTATGAATTCCCAAAATGAAGGCTCAACATATGGGACCTCAACTAGGGAGTTTGCTTTAGCAAACACAGAGTCTGCTTCGTTCATTCATACGTACTTCATTTCATTTCATTCATGAGTCATTAAAAACACCAGCTATACCTATGATGTAGTTTAAGACTTTGATCAAGTTCGTTGTGTAATGACCAACAATGACCTAATGTCATTACTTGAATCTAAATCACCTCTTGATTATCCTATCCTAACACCTTTAGTATCATTCGTTTCATAATGTGCATCATTTGAGGCTGGGCTGATTCATTCATTGGGAACTTTAACTTTAACCGACATAGATCATGTGACCATCATGAAATCTAGTGTCATTAAACCCCAGAGCGAAAAGAGGTGGAATCACCGGCCAAAGTGAACAAAAACATGCTAGCGTGCATGGGAATTGAAACCCGCCAAATCCCTATATTGGCAGTATAGGTTCGAAGACTAGGAGATATAAGGATACCCATACCCGGTATGCCGTACAGTCTTATCTAATGAGAGTTACGTGAACTTCCGCCCTTCCCAAAAGAAGGAATCACCGGTCATAGTTAGTCTATCGGTGCTCAGTATAAAGTTCCAATACATTCAACTCTTACGCCATGGAAGTTGGCTTCTACTATGAGGACATCATAGCTGAATACTTTCATTAGAGTGTTCATAGAGATTGGTCTCTTCATCAACTTTACACTATCATCGGTGAGTACGTTTTGGTAACATTCACTTAGGCTCATTTGAGATTACTCTCATCTTTTACATTAGCCTCATATCATGTAGTCACCACATTCATTAACATTAGCACATTTGCTCTTCATAATAACTCACCCCTTTTTATATGAATGCCGATTTCATCATATGGTAATGCACTTGGCCATTTAGTGTGTTTCACACTTTTACTTAACCCTTCTATGGCTTCATCATTTCATTTTTCATTTCATCATTTCATTGTTCATTTTGTCATATGCCAATGCACTTGGCCATTTAGTGTATCTTACACTCATTTTAATTTCTTTTTCTATAAAATCTCTCCTTTTGGCCGAGGGGTTGTGGGTTCGAACCTCCACAACCCCTTTTATTTCTTTATTTATTTCTCCTTGACTATATATCATTGACAATGAGGTTGTGGGATCAAACCCCCACAACCTCACTTTATTTTTATTGTGATTCTCCTTTACTGCCTAGAGGTCGTGGGTTCAATTCCACGCCTGAAATTTCTTTTATTTGTATTTTTAATTCTCCTTAATTCTTCCTAAGTGGTCGTGGGTTCGAATCCCACGCCTAATATTCCTTTTCTTTCCATTTTTCCTTTCTCCTTTACTTCCTGCGAAGTTGTGGGTTCGAATCCCACTCCTCTCATTTATTTTATTTTTCATTTTTTTCCTTTCTCCTTTATTGTCTGAGAGGTTGTGGGTTCGAATCCCACTCCTCTCATTTCTTTTCTTTTTATTTTTCATTTTCCACCCAAGGTCAGAGGTTCGGGTCCCACATGCCACATTCCCTTTTTCTCGCCTTATTTCATTGATTTTCAACATTGTGAGTTCACGGGTTCAATCCCCAGTGATGTCACATATTTTAGTTCATTTTTTCATAAAATGAAGTTCTCCTTAGCTTGGCCGAAACACATTAACAAGCTACTGGAAATTTTTGCAGCCGAATTTCTCACTTCTTTCACATTAATGTTTAGAAATTTTAAATACTTTTTTAGTGAGTTCTTTAGGTGCATTTTCAAGATTTCATTCGATAAAGAATTTCACTTGAATTAGCATATATACATCACTTATGAACATAACGATTTATATAAGTTTGTGCATGTAAGAACACAACCATAAAATGTTATTTTTTAACCTCAAACAAAATGAGTCACATCTACATTGTACACACATACATATCTTTTCAGAGAAACATAGGTTGTCATTCATACTATTCCAAATAACATTCATGAACATATTCAACACGGAAACACATTGCATGCCTAATATCTTCCAGCAAACATACTCAACCTACGAATTAACGAGAGCTAGTGACAGGGACATGCAACGGGAACAATCCCTGTTTTCATATTAGATATGACTGAATCATAAGGGGTCTCTTGGGAAAGTGACCAAGACATAAGAGAACCCATAACTTTTTGACGTTAAACTCTTGACTTGATGCCCAAAAAGTTCACCCAAGAACACGTCTACGCCTCGTCAAAATCAACACCACTCGAATGACAACCTCCCTTAGCCTAGTATGCGATTAACGTTTGTTTTCTTGTGATTTCGTGTCAGTTATTTAAGTGTGAAGAACTTGGTTTATTTTTCTTATTTTGCATCATATTTTAGAAGAGAAAATACATGAGGAGAGTGATAGAGACGTGAGAGAAAGAGGAGCGTGGGAGAGAAGAGTTTTCTTAGGATTAGGAGTCTAGTTTAGGACTTAGTCAATTAAGGTTTTTATTTTATTATTAAAAATAAGATTTGATTTTATTTTAATTCAGATAATAAATAATAAATATAAATTAATTACATTACTTTACCAACTTAAATAAAAAATAATTTAATTCATTGCTTCCACCTAGGTTCGAACCCGGATGGAGCAAGACTTTACTTCAAGAGCAAATTTTCGTCCCTCTCTCCCCAACATGCCCCTACACATTATTAATTAAATAATTAATTATATATGTAGGGTAATCACTATACTATCCTTAGCCTGGAAAAAGACCAATTTACCCCTAGACCCTCCAAACCTAAGATTTTTCCTTATTAAGTCCGATAAAGACTCCTTAAAGTAAATCTTCGTAATCTAGAGCCCTACATGGTTGGAACAAACCTTTCCAAGCTCAACTAACTCCCTAAGTTAGTTGGCTTAGTAGTAGCAAGGATTTAGAGGTTTGGTTCTACGTGCATCAATCTGTTTGAACCCTGGTCTAATCATAAGAATTCTTGACACATTAGGCATTTCATTTCTTATCCGTTATTAGGGTTGTTAAATTATCCCCCCACCCACCCACCCTTAGAAACATTTCTCCCCGAATGACACTACTCTTTACAAACAATAAGTAAGTTATCTATAGAATGTATGCATACATAGGTAATTTAATACTCCCCATTTTTGAATATCTGATTCACATATTAATATGATGGTGCACCTCCTTGAAACCTACTAGTAGGTTTACATTAACGGACTAAGGAAATCTTTCCTAAACTAGTCTCATTAAAGCATACAATATAAGTAAACATATAAGTCATACAAGTCAGCAACCAACATGATTAATCAAACATATTAACCTCATATTAGTGCATAAACACCATACACAGTCAAATACATGAAGGACTAATTAAGGCTACTCACCCGAGACTTCACCATAGGTGCCTTCATCTGCAACACTAGACTTGAGTGCGAAGAATCATTGCGTCCTTGGAGCCTCTTCACTTGGACAATTAGATTGAATCTCTCCGCCCCTTGTTCTTGATTTCTTTTAATCGTACAATCCTTCACCTTGTAACCCGGTTTGCCACAACTATAACAAGCATTAGTACCCATCATACACTCTCCTCCATGTAGTTTACCACACTTCCCGCATGGTGGTCTCTCCTGATATGTATCTACTTCATTGTTTCTCTTAACTCTGGACTCGAAATTCCTATCATGGCGACCCTTGGATGAAATTGACTCCCCTTGGTGGAAGATTCCATGCTTAAACCTGGGCTTATCCCTGATTTCAGTACTACTCTTCCTTATAAAATTCTCCTCGGCTTGCCTTGACCTGTTCCTTGCCCTAGTGTGTTTTCTCTTTCTGCTTTCCTCCACATGCTGGACATAGATCATAAGCTCGGAAAGTTCCATGTTTTCATGCAGCATAGCTGCCCTACACTCCTCCTTGAGATCCTCAGCAATCCTGTCAAGAATCTAATCATCTCGTCTCTGCTGTTAGACACAAGAGAAGTGGCATACATGGATAATTTCACAAACTTCAGGGAATACTCCTTGACTGTCATCGATCCCTGTTTAACGTTGATAAACTCCTCAACCTTGGCCTCCCTAATCTCCCTGGGGAAAAATCTCTCCAGGAAGACTGTCTTAAACAACTCCCAAATGACCGGGACTCCACCCAAAGTTCGGCTATCTTGCCACATATTGCACCAAATCTGTGAAACATTCTTGAGTTGGTAGGAAGCCAACTCTGCTTTCTTAGTATCTCTGGCCCCCATAGCCACTAAAATCTTATGCACCTCATCCAAAAAATCATGGGGATCCTCTGAATTCTTAGATCCTGTGAAAATATGAGGATACATCCTCGTGAAGTCTCTCGGCCTGTCAGTCATGCTATGCTCTGGTGGGTTCTCCCTGTCAACATTCTGCTGGTTGACCTGGGCAGTCATGGCATGAGCCTGCATAGTGATGGCTTGTGCCATCTGGGACAGAGATGCCCGCGCCTCCGCATCATCAACCCAACTTAACAAGCATACCCAATTCTTCAGCTGGAGCCTGGGGTGGAACCTGATTGTTCCCAACAGCTGCTACTTCTCTCATCTGACCAATAGTTCTCCTAGTGTTCATTCTCCGTAATCAACAGGGATTCATGTTAGAGACGCTCATCAAAATCATGAAATTCAAACATTATAAAGGCACGATAAGATAAGAAGAAGGGAAATTTCCCTACGCAGCATGCAGTCTATATTCCAGGATAGTGGTGCACTTCACTACCATGACATAGAAACTACTCAATGTGGTTGATGTAAACTTATTATCCTCGGAATTTAACGTAACGCTCTAACACCAAATTTGTCACGACTAAATTCGAGACCCCAGATTATACTGGTATCGTTGACCTCTCAAAGTTCGTAGACAAGCCTACTTACGTCATTTTTACTTCGTCTAAGTTAATTTTAGCGGAAAATTTGAAACTTTTTGTTTCTTAACATGCAAACTAAACATTCTACTACACAGGTTATTGATCACCATCAACCATCCAACATTAAAATCATCAAATGAAAGAAACAGTTTATTATAACAATAAAGATGTACTCGCCAAAATGGTACCAATACAATGTCTGAAAAAAACGGGAACGCTAGTGGAACATAATCCACTAGCTTAATCCTAAAACTAAGCTAGAATGTAAATAGGCAATCATCCTTGAAAGCATGAGGGCCTAACAACTCCGGATGAATGCACAATGTCCGGATAACTGCAGTGTTGATCCTGTAGCTCTAACGTCCACCTGTGCCTGCACCTAAAAGTTTAGAGTTGTATAGGGTTAGTACACATTTGTACAAAGAGTGGGTATATTCAAGCACACACCAAGGACATGCATGTGTAAGAATATCTCTTTCCTAGCAACATGATTATAGCAGGTCAAGTCAGTGGACTTGCCAAATTAAGATTAGGAAAGTGAGTAAACTTTCAAAATTTTTATTAGGAAAGTTTAGGAGATTTCAAAATTTGGATTAGGAAAGTTATGCCATGAGAGTAACATGCATCATCATACTTAACAGTTTGCACACAGCACACAACAGCGTACGTATAGCACATATCATAATTCCTTTAACACATAACGTTGTTCATATCATTCATTCAAATTCCATGAGACCTTGGAATCATGGACTTGATATTATGACTTGCCAAAAATGAGGGCTCAACATATGGGACCTCAACTAAGGAGTATGCTTTAGCAAACACAGAGTCTGCTTTGTTCATTAATACGTACTTCATTTCATTTCATTCATGGGTCAGTGTAAACACCAGCTATACCTAGGATGTAGTTTAAGACTTTCATCAGGTTCGTTGTGCAATTACCAAGAATGACCTAATGTCATTACTTGAATATAACCCACCTCTTGAATATCCTATCCTAACACCTTTGGTATCATTCGTTTCATTGTGTGAATCATTTGAGGCTGGCCTGATTCATTCATTGGAAACTGTAACTTTAACTGACATAGCTATGTGACCATCATGAAATCTAGTATCTTGAAACCCCACATAGAAAAGAGGTGGAATCACCGTCCAAAGTGACCCAAAACATGCTAGCGTACATGGGAGTTGAACCCTGTCAGATCCCTATATTGGCAGTATAGATTCAAAGACTAGAAGATATAACGATACCCATACCCAACATGCCGTACAGTCTCATCTCATGAGATTTATGTGTACTTCCGTCCTTCTTGAAAGAAGGAATCACCGATCATAGTTAGTCTATCGGTGCTCAGTATAAAGTTCCAATACATTCAACTCTTACATCATGGAATATTGTTTCTAGTACGAGGACATCATAGCTCAATAGATAATTTCTCATCTCATCATTAATATTTAGCGTGTTAGACTCAATACTTTCATTTGAGTGTTCATAGAGACTAGTCTCTTCATTAACTTTAAACTCTCCTAGGTGAGTACGTTTTGGTAACATTCACTTAGGCTCATTTGAGATTGCTCACATCTTTTACATTAGCCTCATATCATGTAGTCACCACATTCATTAACATTAGCATATTTGTTGTTGCTTTCGTCATATGCCAATGCACTTGGCCATTTAGTGTATATTACACTCGTACTTAACCCTTCTAGGGTTTCATCATTTCATTACATACATCTTAAGTTTCACTTATTTTAAATCATATGTTAGATTTATTGGTCTAAACATACCAGCCATGAGGCTTCATTCATTGTTTGTTAAGTGACTCATATCTTCCTAAGATTATGTAGTACAAGACTTATGTATCTTGTATGTATGCCAAGGTATCGATTTCGATCAAACTAGGTGGAATTATTCTTGAACATTTATTTTTACGTATGGTTTAGGTGTCAGTACGGAAATTAGGGCAAGGCAAAACCAAGTTGTAACCTCTTGGACAATAATTACATTTTTCCTTGACTTTATTTTTTAGTATTCATGACATTGGGACCCTAGATCGAGCCCAAACACCTTCGATTTATTTTTCCCATAGTTTTTCTCTACATTTTTTACTCAATGGGATTAAGAGGATGTGGGATTGAACACCCACAACATCATTTTCTTTTAATTTCGTTTTCTTTAAACTCTCTTCTTTTAGCCGAGGGGTTGTGGTTTCGAACCCCCACAACCCCTTTTATTTCTTTATTTATTTCTCCTTGAGTATATGGCAAACTCCCACAACCTCACTTTATTTTTATTGTAATTCTCCTTTACTGCCTAGAGGTCGTGTGTTCAATTCCACGCCTGAAATTTCTTTTATTTGCATTTTTAATTCTCCTTAAATCTTCCTAAGAGGTTGTGGGTTCAAATCTCACGCCTCACATTCCTTTTATTTTCATTTTTCCTTTCTCCTTTACTTACTGAGAAGTTGTGGGTTCGAATCCCACTCCACTCATTTCTTTTCTTTTTCATTTCTTTCCTTTCTCCTTTATTCTCTGAGAGGTTGTGGGTTCGAATCCCACTCCTCTCATTTCTTTTCTTTTCATTTTTCATTTTCCAGCCAAGGTCATAGGTTTGAGTCCCAAATGCCACATTCCCTTTTTATCACCTTATTTCATTGATTTTCAACATGGTGAGGTCACGGGTTCAATCCCCAGTGATCTCACATATTTTGGTTTATTTTTTCAAAGCATGAAATTCTCTTTAGCTTGGCCGAAACTCATTAACAAACTACTGGATGTTTTTGCAGCCGAATTTCTCACTTCTTTCACATTGAATGTTCAGACATTTTAAGTAGTTTTTTAGTAAGTTGTTTAGGCCCATTTTTAATATTTCATTCGATAAATAATTGCACTCAAATAAGCATTTGTGCATGTAAGAACACAACCATAACATGTTATTTTTGAACCTAAAACCAAAGGAGTCGCGGCAACATTGTACACACACACACATATTTTTGGAGAAACATAGGTTGTCATTCATACGATTCCAAACAACATTCATGAACATATTCAACACAAAAACACATTACATGCCTAATATCTTCCAGCAAACATACCCAACCTACAATTCAACGGGAGCTAGTGACAGGGACATGCAACGGGAACGATCTTAGTTTTTGGATTAGATTTGACATAACCTTAAGGGGTCTCTTGGGAAAGGGACGAAGAGAGAAGATAATTCATACCTTTTTGACGTTAAACTCTTGACTTGCTGGTCAAAAAAATTCACTCAAGAACACGTCTAAACCTCCTCAATATCAACTCCACTCGAATGACAACCTTCCTTAGCCTAGTGTGTGATTAACGTTTGTTTTCTTGTGATTTCGTATGAGTTCTTCAAGTGTGAAAAACTTGGTTTATTTTTCTGCTTCTGTATTTTACTTTGGAAGAGATAATACCTGAGTGAGAGTGATAGAGACGTGACAGAGAGAAGAGCATGTGAGAAGAGTTTCTTAGAATTAGGAGTCTAGTTTAGGACTTAGTCAATTAAGGTTATTATTTAATTATTAAAAATATAATTTCCTTTTATATTAATTCAGATAATAAATAATAAATATAAATTAATTACATTAATTTACCAACTTAAACATAAAATAATTTAATTCATTGCTTCCACCTAGGTTCGACCCGGAAGGAGCAAGACTTCACTTCAAGAGCCAATTTTCGGCCCTCTCTCCCCAAAATGCTCCCCCACCTTATTAATTAAATAATTAATTATATATTTAGGGTAATTACAATACTACCCTTAGCCTAGAGAAAGACCATTTTACCCCAAGACTCTCCAAATCTAAGAATTTCCCTTTTTAAGTCCTATGGAGAAACATTCAAGTAAATCTTTGTATTTGAGAGCCCTACATGGTTAGACCCAAGATTTCAAAGCTCAACTAACTCTCCAAGTTAGTTAACTTGGCTGTAGCAAGGGTTCATAGGTCTGGTTCTACGCGCATCAATCCGTGTGAACCATGATCTAAACATAGGCATTCTTGACACATTAAGCTTTTCTTATCTTGTACATTTTTAGGGTTGTTACATTAATTATATGTTGTTCATAATTTATGAAACTTTATTTTATGGTTGATATAGCTGAGTAAGTGATATTTCTTTTTGTTAATTTTCTCAAATGTGAAGTTATGAAATGATGTATTGGCTCTTTGTTGAATATATTGAGCCATATGAGCAGGAGAAGGAAATTCCTCAAATAATATGAAATGATGAAATGTATGCATAATTGGTAGATGGTATAGTTTCTACTTCTTAAAGATGTATTATTGTAGTTCAGAACGTAGTTAATGTTTGATGCTTTTCTAGAGAATTATAATTATATATGTGTGTGTGTGTGTGTGTGTGTGTGTGTGTGTGTGTGTGTGTGTGTTGGTCGGGCTGCTAGTCTTGAGTCATAGATTCCACAAAGATTTTTAAAGTATCATTCGAGAATGAATGTTCCCCAAGGGGGGGGATAATATTATACCTCGGAAATCATATGACCTAAGCTAGAGCCTCACCTAATGAATAATGATTTTA